GGCTATATCAATACAGGTGGCTCATCCAAAACTGTTGTTCTTTCTAAGCCCATTCCAAAGCATCCCCAAAAGAAAGATGGAACCTCTATAAGTAAGCCTCAATCTGGTGCACAAACTAAAAGATGTTTCAAATGCCAACGGTTTGGACACATTGCTTCAGAATGCCTAAATAGGAGATTGTGACTCTAGTAGAAAATGACTTGGAGAAAAATGAAGAGGAGCTAACTGAAGAGGATCTAAACCTTGGAGAGGAGGAAGAGGTGACCTATGGTGATTGTGGAGCATCCTTAGTCATAAAATGCAGCTTGAGTACCGCACCTGCTAAAGAAGAAGATTAGTTACGTAAAAATGTGTTTCACACTCGGTGTACTGCCCATAGGAAGGTATTTGATATTATAATTGATAGTGAAAGTTTTGAAAATGTTGTTTCTACCTTTATGGTGCAGAAATTAAGCCTCAAAATAGTGGATCACCCTCCAACCATATAAGCTATCCTGGCTCTAGAAAGAGAATGAAATCAAGGTTAGCAAGAGGTGTTTGGTTACTTTTTCCACAGTAAAAATTACAAGGATGAAGTGTGATGTGATGTAACTTCGATGGATGCTTTCCATTTACTGTTGGGAATACCTTGGTATTATGATAAGAGGGTTATTTATGATGGTTATCGCAACACTTACACATTTGTGAAGGATGGATACAAAATCATTCTAGGCCCTACCAAACCCATGATGATGTCTAAACCAACCAAAGGGGAAAGAAGTAACTTGTTTACCAAGGCCAATTACAAAAGAGAAATTAAGATGAGCGGTACTATGTATGCACTGGTGTTGATTGAGGAAAATAAAAATAGTGAGAAGCCTTATGCAGTGATACAACCATTATTGGCAGAATTTCAAGATGTTATTCAAGAAGAGTTACCAGCTAGTCCACCACCAATGAGGGACATTCAACATTGCACAAACCTTATCCTATGAGTTATTCTACCTAACAAGGTAGCTTATAGGAAGAGTCCTAAAGAGCATGCAGAGTTGCAACGCCAAGTTGATGAATTGGTGAAAAAAAGAATGGTGCATGAAATCATGAGCCCTTGTGCAGTCCTAGCCCTTTTGGTGCCTAAGAAGGATGGATTGTGACGTATGTGTGTGGATGGTAGGGCAATCAACAAAATCACATTTGACTATCGCTTTTCTATTTTGCACTTAGATGACTTACTGGACCAATTACACAGAGCAACTATTTTCTCCAAGATAGACCTATGTAGTGGTTATCACCAAATCAGAATGAGGCTTGAAGATGAGTGGAAAATAGCCTTCAAAACAAGGGATGGTCTCTATGAATGGATGGTAATGCCTTTTGGTTTATCCAATGCTCCTAATACTTTCCTGAGATTTATGAATCATATCCTTAAACCTTGTATTGGTAGATTTGTAGTAGTTTATTTTGATGATATTCTGGAGTATAGCAAAGATGAGGATCAACACTTGAATCATCTACACCAATTGTTTTACATTTTGAGGGAATAGAAACTTTATGCTAACCTTAATAAGTGTAGTTTTTTTACTTTCAGCCTTGTGTTTTTAGGGTTTGTAGTGTCAAAGGAAGGAATAAAGATGGATCTTAGCAAGGTTGAGGCAATTTTAAATTGGCCAACACCAGTATCTCTACATGATATCTAAAGTTTTCATGGTATTGCATCTTTTTATAGGCACTTCATTAGGAGTTTTAGCTCCATTGTGGCTCCTATCATCGAATGTTTGAAGAATAAAGCTTTTAAGTGGACCAAAAAAGCCCAACACAGCTTTGAGCTCATCACGACCAGGATCACTGAAGCTTCCATCTTGGCCTTACCAGACTTTGATCAAGTGTTTGAGGTGGAAAGTGATGCATCCAATTCTGGAATAGGTCCTATTTTAAGTTAAGGGGGAAAGCCTATAGCATTTTTCAGTGAGAAGCTTAATGAAGCCAAGAGAAAGTATTCAACCTATGACAAGGAGTTTTACGCCATTTTATAGGGCTTTATTCCATTGGAGTCAGAATCTTCTTCCCAAACCATTTGTCCTATATTCAGACAATGAGGCCTTAAAGTTTATCAATAGCCAACATAAGCTCAACTGAAGACATGCAGCTTGGGTGGAGTTTCTTCAAGCCTACAACTTCACTATCAAACACAAATCAAGGAGTCAAAATGTAGTGGTAGATGCTTTAAGTCGAAGGCACTCTTTATTGGGGATTATAGCTGTTGAAGTTATTGAATTTGATGTGATCAAAAGGCTCTATGAGATAGATCCTTACTTTAGTCGCATTTGGGAAGAATGCAAGCAAGGACCACACAACCAGTTTTTGTTACATGATGGATATCTCTTCAAGGCTAATAGTCTTTGCATTCTTTCATTTTTTTGAGACAGGCCTTAATCATTAAGGCTCATGATGGTGCACTAGATGGACACTTTGAAAGGGATAAAACACTTGCTCTTTTACAGGACAAGTTTTATTGGCCAAAGATGGAGATGGATGTTATGAAACACCTTGAAAGATGTAGAGTGTGCCACATTGCCAAGAGTCATGGTCAAAACACTGGATTGTATACCCCACTGCTCGTGCTTAATGCTTTTTAGGAGGATGTTAGTTTGAACTTTGTTGTGGGACTGCCTAGAACTCAAAGGAACAAAGACTCTATCATAGTGGTTGTGGATCATTTTTCCAAGATGGCCCATTTCGTTCCTTGTAATAAAACTATAGATGCTTATCATGTTTCTGATCTATATTTCAGGGAAATTGTGAGGCTACATGAAGTTTCTAGATCCATGGTGTCTGACTGGGATTCCAAGTTTCTTAGTTATTTTTGGTGCACCCTATGGAGGAAGCTTGGCACCAATCTTAAGTATAGTTCTTCTCATCATCCTCAAACAGATGGTCAAACAGAGGTAACTAACCATAGCTTGGGTAATCTTCTAAGGAGTGATGTGGAAAAGAATATCAAGTAGTGGGATCTTATTTTACCTCAAATAGAGTTTGTTTACAACTGCTCACCAAACCAAACCACTAGTTGCAGTCCTTTTGAGGTGGTATATGGTAAAAATCCATTAGTCCTATAAATTTAGTTCTTCTCTTTACTAATCAACAATTTAGTGGCAATGCAGAAGAAATGGCTAAGAGTATCAAACGATTGTATGAACAAGTTAGAATTAAGATTTTACAGCAGAATGAGAAATATAAGAGGGCAGTAGACAAACATCGAAAACATATGGAGTTCAAAAAAGGTGACTTAGTATGGATTAACTTGCAGAAAGAAAGATTTCCTTCAGGGAAATTTGGTCAATTACAACCTAAGGCAGATGGTCCATTTAGAGTTCTCCAATGAATTGGAGAGAATGCCTACAAGATAGAGCTTTCCAACACTTATGGAGTATCTTCCACATTTAATGTTGCTGACTTGTCACGCTACCATGGAGAGAATACTAGTTCAGACTTGAAGACAAGTCTTTTCCAACCAGAGAAAATTGACACCGGAGTGTTTGCACATCATATAACTTGGGCTGAGAATAAGACAGACTCATCCAGATATAAGATGGGCCTATCCTTAGTCTAAATCCACACATAAATAAGGTGGGCTAGATGAGGGAGATTGCATTCACACTAGCTAGAAAAGAAGATCATGAATATGAATGAGATTGTGGTTAGGTTTAAGAGTAAATGGATAGATTATGTTCACATGCAAATCTCATGATTTTAGGCATGATTCTAGCAATGCAATCTCAAAGTTTCCATAGAGGGATATTCTTAGCATATATATTTTCTATTATTCTTTGGTAAAAGACAGAACATAGTTTTATTTTATCATTAGGCAATCTTCTAGATTGTTTTTTAAATTCTATATCTCTTAGGTGGATTTTCTAGAATGGTGAACTTCTTTTGTTCTGTATCCTTGATTAGAATTCTTAGGGTGGTGTTTCTGTATCCCTTAGTTTCTAGTCTTGGTGGTTAACTTTTATCCCTTTTAATACAATAATCATATTTTGCCATTATTCAAATCCTTATGAGTTGTTTCTCTGTGAGTTTTTCTGTTTGTAGTTAATCTCCATATCTAAAACATCAATTTCCGACATCACTTTTAGAGAGCTTTTAGTTTGCAAAATCTAATATTTTCTAAGAATCCTAGTTTTCATATAGTGATTCTTTTGTTTGGTTTGTGAAATATAATTTTTTGAGATTTTTTAATATTTCTAACAATATCAAAAGGGTGAAAATAGCCTAAAATAAAAAATCTTTCTCTTCTGGATGTATTTTTCAAATTCTTTGGGGTTACAAAATTTGTCACACTTTTACCTTCAATAATTGATATTTAAGGTTTATTATTCCCTTTAATATTATAAAAATTACAACATAAATCAACACGCAATCTAACACGTGTAAACTCATTTGAAGCCCAAATATTTGATACCTAATAGCGTGCATGAAAAAAAATCATTTTACACAAAATCAAAAGTAATTCAATTAATTTAGTTTATTTTTAATTGAATTTTATAAATAATTTGATTTTATTTAACCTATGTATATTATTTCAGTAACATTGCAATTATTTGAAATGAAACAAACTTTTACATAATATTCATTTTCAATTGATAAAAAATTTTTGGTTCAATAGCCGATATTTCGTATATTTAATGTCATCATCTAATTACAAAATATATGACATTTGAAAAAACAAACGTCCTCTGATATCATAATCAACCATGCTTATAACATATAAACGTTTTGTTATAACAACCGTAGCCATATTATTTTCATCAATATATTATGTCTTCCTGTTTTAAGCAGACAATAAATGATGACGTTTATATGGTATTAGGTATCAAACCAAGCCAAACTCCATCTCTCTCCTCTTCTTTTACAAGATTGAGAAATGGGGAGCTTCATGCTTCTTAGTTAACTCTTCTGGCAATATTTCTATCCGACCAAAGAGCCTGAACACTTCATCAACTCACGAAGAGTTTGATTTGCTAAAGGTGGTGAAAAGTTTCGGGCAACAAGTTGTCAGGAGGCCTTGGATTACAACTTCCTCTAATAATTCGCCTACCTGATGTTTTGAAGAACCGCTGAGTCCCTAATCTGCTTTCAAGTCTGCCATCAGCTCTTGGAACTATAGGTCTCATTACCACGGTGTTTATCCTGTGAAAAGTAACCAAGACAGGTTTATTGCGGAAGATGTTAGTGAGATTCGTATTCCCTTTTCAATTTGGCTAGGAAGTTTGTTCCAAGCCCGAGCTCCTTCTGGCATTGAGTTGTTTATATTTTAAAGGATATACAGAAACTCTTTTAATTTGCAATTGCTTTAACGATAAGGATTATATTTTCCTTGCGTTGATTGAAAGAAAACTTGCTTTTAATCTAATTTTAGGGCTACGGTGATGTAAGAGGACGATTATTGGAAAAACTTCGCCGATTAGTAATATAAGAAGACGATCGAAAGAAATAAACAATCACTTCTTTTTATTAATTAAATAATGTTTGAATTGAAATGAGTAATGGTCATGTTTTATTCTTTAATATGACATTAGGTACTTTCAACCGTCTTGTTTTTTAATGTTAAATAAATATAAAATTTAAATTTACATGAAATAAATAAAAATATAATAATTATATGTTATATTTATATATAAATAATTAATAAGTAAATAAAGTATACTACACTTATAAAATATATAAATTGCTTGCAAGTTAAATAAATAAATTTATTATAAAAATGTTAAATAAATTATTTATATGATTTTAAGAATGTCACATGTTAGTTATGTGTCCTCCAAAATAATATAATAAAAGAATTCATTCAGTATTCTTAGATTTTATAAATCAAATGTCAAAACCTTACATTCCTTTGCGTTGAACCAAACACCAGAATCTTCCATTTCTCGAAATCTATCAAGTAAAATGATTTGGGAAAAATTATTTTTCAACTGAAATTCTAGATTTCACAAACTAAACACTCTTTCAAAATAAAATAATTTTTATCTATCATCCTACATATTTAGCTACATTGGTTTGATTTATCATAACTAAGTCTAGAAATGTAAATGATACATTAACACTCGTAAGTTATTCGGGTTTAGTTTGGATAAAACTCGAATTTGGCTTTGATCATTGTCGAGTCAATCTTGAGCAACTTGACTTATCGAGTGAGCCAAGGTTGAGCATTCTATTGCCTAGCTCAAGTAGTTTGCGAGCCTAATCGAACTTTTAAATTTTAATATATTTTATTATTTTAATTAAAAAATTATTATTTTACCTATATATATCGATTCGAGTCCGAACTCGAGTTTGAACATATAATCAAGCTTCAAATCGAGTATAAGAATCGAACACATTTTTTATGAAACGGACCTAAACAAACGAGTTTAAATAATTTGATTTTATCTCGAGTTGAGTTTGAACTTGAAAATTAAAATTCGATTGAGCTCAAATTGAGTTTCGAGCGACGAGTTTCAAGTTAAACTCTAACTCAAGCTTCTCATTATATCAATTTAACTCGACTCGATTATACTTTAATCAGGTCACACATAGTCTCCTCATGTAGCTAAATAGGTTTGATTACTATTTAAAAAAAATAAAAAAATAAAAAATTATTTTCATATTAATATTTGAATGATTTAAATATATTTTAAAATTAAATTTAAATAAAAATTATTTTTTATTTTTACATGTTTGATTATTTTTTCGGATTCAATCAGATATAGCTTTGCTCGTAAACTTGATGACCAATTCGATCTATGGATAAATCTAAAAATAATTAATAAGTCAATTTTTATATATTTGATTATTTTATTTAGTTTTATTAATATTATAAAATAAGTTAACATATTGTCTTATAATTCATGAAATCTATTCAGTCCATAACATTATAAAATTAGTATAGATTAAATTAACAAGGATTTTAATCCTTAAATCATAATAGTTTTATCCCCCTTAGTTATTTATGACTTTTGAATTAATAAAAAAAAATTACAACGTTAAAGTCTTAAAGAATTAATATTTTAAAATGAAAAAAATAAAAAATTTATATTAATGGCATAAAATGAAATAAAAATATCATAATATCTTAAAAAAGAATTATGAAAAATTTTAAGGTAATGTAAGATAAGAATATACATAAAAAAAATTAAAAAGATCAATATTAACATAAAAAGAATATATTTTGAAAATTGAAATAATAACCTAATTAATAAAAAAAATTATATTTAGTTGTTTATACGTTCAAGATGATATTCCTATATATAATAGATAGCTTTAATTAAGAAACTAAAAAAAATACTATCAAAAATATATTTTTAGTGTCATTCTTTTTTTCTTTTACAATTTTTTTAACCATATCATTTAAGTAATTGTTATCAATTAATATAGTTGAATTATGAAATATAATGATTAACGAAATTCTTAATTAATTATTATTGCTGTGTAATGTCCTTTAACAAAATATTATTTATTAAAGTAGGATGTTTAAATGATATTTTAACAAAATATTTTGAACTTCCCTCGCAATGATCGCCCCTATCTTTTTATTCAGAAACCGTACCCCATTTAAATTCCATACCGCCCTTCTTGCTTCCTCTATTGACGGATATCGTACAAATCCGATCATTTTCCCATCTTTGCTCCCCTTCTATGGTATGAAAGAATCCACCACTCCTTCAAACCTTCCATAAATCCTCCTTAACCATCTCCAACTAGCGGCATTTGGTAAATTATCGATAAAAATGGTATCACACCTTCTCTGCCTAGTCATCTCCCTTTCCAGCTAGCGTTGATAAGCAAAAATAGGGTTTTTATTCAAACTAATTGTGTGGGTTAATAACAACTCACAAAACCAAACCACTCCTTACTTGGTAAGGAGAAATTTTCCTTTTTGTTAATCAAAGTTTGATCCTTGTGAAAAACATTTAAAAAGTAAGAACTTAAATACATTAGATTGATGTAAGAGATTAAAATCAAGTAAAACTTGAAGATAAAAATATGATTGTATTATAAAAACAAAAATTATAATGGAAATCTTTTTTTTTTTTTATGGAAATCTCAAAAGTCAATATATATATATATATAGAGAGAGAGAGAGGCCGGATTCACTTTTACTAGTATAACTTTTACATTTTTTTAGATTGTTAAATCAAAATTAAATTCATAACTCATTTGAATTAATAACAATTTTTTTAAATTTAATAATTTTGATTTACAAGTCCAAAAAGATGTAAAAATTACATTAAATGTAAGTAAATCTATATATATATATATATGTTAGAAATTTGTTCTTAGAGTTAGAGATACAATAGATAGCAATGGATGTCATAGAACAAAGGACACATAACATGATGAATTATCTCTTTTGTTCCAATTAAATCCTGTAATAATCAATCAATCACTCTTTGCCTAAACTCATCCTATACAATCTTCTCTGGGATTTAAACAAATAATATAAAACAGTCCTAACAAATGGACTAGAACATTTAGTCATATCTGGCAAGTACTGATCAACAAGATTGTCTCCGTCGACTGGATCACAATCATATACGAAGTCAATATTATTTCCTACTAAATGTAAATCTGAAAGCACTGTAAGATTCACACGGTCACCAGCTTCTAGTTCGTCCCTAAATTTCCAACTATTTAACCAACAGATTGCGGTGTTTTTGGCTTCTGGGATTCCAAAAAAATATTTAGCATGGCTCCACTTTGTGCCTTTGGTCTCGTTCACAATCACAACTCGTGAAAAGAAATCCGATGCTTTATCGTTATTGGCAACAAGAAAGATCATAGATTTTAGCTGGCTAATCTTTCGACCAGAGTTTGGGGGCACCGTCAATGAAATCTTAGGCTTAGGAACATAACTCCAAATGCGAAAACTAAGAAAATCATAGGATGGATAATATTCGGAAATTATGGCACAATCATATAACACCTGTAGCATTGAATTAAAATTATAATGAGGTATAGAAGTACTATGTTATATCAAAAAATAACTGAAAGAAATAATAAAGCGAAAATTTTAGGTCTATTTTTTTTAAAAGCATAAATTTTAGATCCATTTGGTTGATTTTTTTTTTTGTTTTTTATTTTTCATAAAAAATTGATATGAAAGCAAAAAGTAAAGCAAATAGTGTCATAACGTCTAGATCCGGGGATCTATCGCTAGACATTGACTTAAAGGGAGTCGCCACCAATCTTTTTTATCTAGGTGCGATTGACCACCTAAAGAATCTGCCCTTTTAGGGAACGCCCAAGCTTAAGGGTCCCTAAAAGAATAGGTTCGGGTCTGCTAACCAGAACAGGGTTCGGGAGTTCGGTTACGTGTGAGGAAGGTTATAGCACCCTCACAACGCCCATCAAAAGATGGTACCAGCTTGAATTTGTGTTATCCAAAAGCCTTAAAATTTTACCAAGTAATTAGTTGTTGGAAATGATTCTCAATTGACTCTAATACTTTTAGCAGAAAATTGAGAAAATTCCCTCACCTCAAGAGTATGCAAGAAAAACTACTGTTTCACTTGCAGAGGCTCCGTCGTCGGATTAATTAAAGAAAAAAAAAATCAAAATCAGCCAAGTAATTAATTATCGGAAATTATTCTCAATTGACTCTAATACTTTTAGCAGAAAATTGAGAAAATTCCCTCACCTCAGGAGTATGCAAGAAAAACTACTGTTTTTGTAGAGGCTCCGTCGTCGGATTAATTAAAGAAAAAAGAAAAAAAAAATCAAGATCAAAATCAAAGTCAAATAAAAAAAATTCAAAAAAAAAAAAAAAAAAAAAAAAAAAACCTGGAGCGGCTCGGCTATCGGCTCGGCTCGGCTCAAGGAAGAAAAAACGGCTCGGAGGAGCGGCTTGGAAGCTCGGCTCGGCTCGGCTTGGCTCGGAGGGAGGCTGGCACGCGCGGGTCAGAATCGGGTCGACGCTCGGGTCGGGTCGGGTCACGGCAAAACGCGCGGATCCTCTGGTTACTTAAGGCCAAAACGACGTCGTTTTTGGAGGGTATTTAAGGCACTCTCCTCTGTTTTTCGGCAGAACGCTCCTCCCCTCTCTCTCTCTTCCTTCCCTTTTCTCTCCCTTCTCTCTAGAAAACCGAAGAACACCGGTGCCGGATTCTGGAAATGTCGCCGAAATCTGGAAATTTTGCCGGAATATGGCCGGAATCTTCGCCGGTTTCTGGGAATCTCGCCGGAAACTGGGTTGGTCACCGGAATCTTCAAGTTTCGCCGGAATTTGTGCCGAAAAATTCAAATGTCGCCGGAATTTTCGCCGGAATCTGGAAATTTCCCAGAAATTTCCAGAAAAAATTTTCGCAAAAAATTTCTAAAAAAATTTTTTCAGATCCCTACAGCTATCCTAACACTTCTCGACCTTCTTTAGCCTTCGAAAACTCTTCTAAACACTTTTTTTTCTCTCAAATTCAGTAGCTTTGCTCACTGTTTTCTGTGTGTTCTTCATCTGTTCCAAAGGGTCCTTTATATAGGGGTTGATCAGGAGTTTCTGATCAATCCCAACTCCTCCTTGGACGGGAATTCAGTCTTTGAATCCAATTGGACTCTCTTGATTGAATTCTCACTTTCAATGGGATTCTTCAGCCTTCAATCTCAGCCCTCCAAAATCAAAATAAAAAAAAAAACTAGATAATTAGAAAAGAAAATCAAAAATTAAAAAATAAAAATAATATCAGATAATTCGGGAAAAAGAAGATAGAATTAACAGATGATTTAAAAAAATAATAACAAATAAAATAAGATAAACCCAAAAATATATTACACAAAAAAAATAATAATAATAATATATAACTATATAAATAAATACATATAAATCTAATCTGAATAAAAATAAATAAATAAATAAAGATATACATAATAATAATAATAATAATAGAATACATAAAATACAAAAGAAAAAAATATACAGGATTGAAATGGGCCTTACCCATTTGGGCCAGGCTCAATTGATCTGGGCCCGGACCCAATTGGGTGTCTACAGCTGCCCCTCTTTGCACATTTTTTGTGAAACAGAAATTGCGCAAAGACGTAGACACCCAATCAAGACTCAACTCAACATTTTTATTTTTTGATTTTTTTTTTATTTTTGTTTTTATTTTTGTTTTTATTTTTTTGATTTTTTTTGTTTTTTTTGTTTTTTTTTTTGCCGAAGCTCCTCTAAACAGAGACTCAACGACTTTTGAAAGTAAATTGCTCCTCTAAACAGAGGCAACGGACTTTGGAAAGTAAATTGCTCCTCTCAACAGAGGCACCACGACTTTGGAAAGTAAATTGCTCCTCTAAACAGAGGTACCACGACTTTGAAAAGTAAATTGCTCCTCTCAACAGAGGCACCACGACTTTGAAAAAGTAAATTGCTCCTCTCAACAGAGGCACCACGACTTTGAAAAGTAAATTGCTCCTCTAAACAGAGGCAACGGACTTTGAAAAGTAAATTGCTCCTCTCAACAGAGGTACCACGACTTTGAAAAGTAAATTGCTCCTCTCAACAGAGGTACCACGACTTTGGAAAGATAAATTGCTCCTCTCAACAGAGGCACCACGACTTTGGAAAGTAAATTGCTCCTCTCAACAGAGGTACCACGACTTTGGAAAGTAAATTGCTCCTCTCAACAGAGGCACCACGACTTTGAAAAATAAATTACTCCTTGACAATCATGTCCAAAGGAGTTGAAAGTTGTGTTTGAAGGGATTTCAGGAGATTATGCCCAAAGGTCTTATAAATCAACCCTGATACCTAAAGACATCCTATTTCAAGGATTAGGGACTTACCTGACAAGCTTTTTCTTTTTCAGTTTTGCAAAATATCTTCATATTTGTCTTCTCCATATGGGATGTTGGAACACCCCTGCTTCTTGAATTTATACACTATATTCTCCTGAAAGTAGTGTATGCTGTGCAAATGCATGAATTTCAATGCATGTTATGCAAATGTTGGTCAATTAATTCCTGTTCAATGTATGGTACTCAAGTTTCTCAAGCTCTTTTTTCTTTCTTGGGTGTCAAGCCCTTGGATTCATCAAGGATCAAATTGCACTGCTCTTCTAAGATCGAACCAGTGTAGCTCTCAATTTGTCATTTCCACTCACATTCTTCCTTGTTCAGTTTCTCGATACTTTGGAATAAGCTTCATCAATCGATCATCACTTGACCATCATTCAATGAATTTCTCAACACTAACAAATTCAGAACCAGTTTCATCCACCATCGCTAGGTCATTGTCTCAGCATTAACCCGAAACAAACTCTGTCTACTGATTGTTCTCATCATTCAATCATAACTTGCAAGTCATATCAATCAATTCATCACTTTTCAAGATTTGCCCCATTATATCATGTACCTTTTCAAATCATCTCCTTTAGGTTTCTACCATTTCTTCATCATCTTAGATTTCTTTTCAAATGAATGCAAGACTCTTTTAAGCACATATTCATTCATTCATTATCATTTCAAATCTTGACAAATACAATGCAACCAAACATTTTCTCAATTCATTGTGGGGGTGTAACAATAAGAGAAACACAAGGTGAATTATGGTCAAGATAATCAATGAAGATCTGTTTTGGTACAAAACAAATGGGAAAGGAAATGAATTGGATACATGTCATTGGGATGGATGGTATATCCAAATGATGAATATTCAGACAATTTTCAACATTAATCTAGGATTCTTTTTCAAAAACTCATTCCATTTACTGTTGAAGTCAACTTGAGCTTGGCGAACTTTGCCCCAGTCTTTGAGGGATCTTCAGATGTCTTTGATCTTCCATTCATGTGAGCCGTTTGCCCTGGATCTTTTTTTTTTACCAAGATCACCCTTTCAGGTTTTCAATTTAAATCTCTTTCTTCATTTTCTCATTTCTTTTCTTTTTTTCTTTTCTTTTTTTTTTTTTTTTATCATCGTCTTTTTTTCTCATTTTTCATCCATTGTTGATATCTTCTATACATCCAATTTTAGAGCACTGTAGCATGATTCCAGTGCTTCATCATGAGCATGTCTTTGCTCAACATATGACCATTCAAGTTGAGTATTCACACTTGATCCAAATGGACTTTTCAAGGTTGTAATGTAGGCCAAGGTGAGGGGTCATAAAAAATGGATATAATAGGCTCAAAACATGTATTAAAAAGGTTCAAAACCAAAGGATCATTTGATGCAGCTTGGCATTTTGCCCCCACATCATGCTTTTTCTTTCCTCACACAAAAGATTCTCATTACTTTGCCCTAAATCATGTGTGGCATTATTTTTTTCTTTTCTTTTTTCATTTTTGAGACCTTTTGTGGTTTTTTTTTTTTTTTTTTTTCAAAAATTACCCTCCAGTGTAGAGGGTGATCCTTGGTTGGGGTTCTTCAAGGAAAAAAAAAATTATGATTGGCTCAAAGGGGTAGCAATAAATGGTTTTTCCAATGGTAAAAGAAAGATGGCCATTTTTCATCTCAATTGTGAATACCTTTCTTGAACATCATCTATTGAACAAAGCTCATGAATCTGTATAAAAGATTACACATCTTCAAGACATATCTCTTTCACCTCCGGTAACAGCCTATTTTTGCTCAAATCGTCTCTTCATATTAGCATGGATGAGTTCTCAAAATTAAATCCCAGAATTATTGTTATCATTATCTAAATATTCATCATCTGAAATTTAAGAATGGGAATGTGAAGTTATGAAGGGTAGCAGGGTATGGAATAATGGTCAAGTGAAAGAGAAAAATGTAATGAAATGCATTGACTTGCCTTTATTAAGATGATAACAAGTGAAGTCATATTGCAAAAAAGAAATCTAACATTACTTGAAAAGAAATCCTAAAATGACAGAAGAAACCTTCAACCAGCCTTATCTCCATTCTTAAAAATTAGCCCCCTATATGATCAGGTGAAGAAATCCCCATTGACATCTTGCCCCTCAATTCATTGTGACTCTCCGGACCCTTTCTGTTCTTGACTTTCACTCAGGGCACTAACATTGGATGTTGTTGCTTTTCCTTGATCAAAATTTACCATTCCATCATTGATCAACCGTTGCACCTTATACTTTAAAGCAGTGCAATTTTCAGTAGAATGGCCAGTAATTCCATAGTGATAGTCGCAGTGGGCTGTAGGATCATACCACTTTGGATAGGGTGGTTTAAGAGGTTCCACATGGCTGGGGGCAATCAAGTGGCTATTATAAAGCTCTCGATATAACTCTGTATAAGTCATAGGGATTGGATCAAATACAGGTTTTTCTCGAGCAGTCCGTTGTTCTCGCGAGCCACTGGCTAGGTTAGTAGGGCGGATTTGGGTTCTTACAGGAGCTTGAATGTTAAGGCGATAAGTGGATGAATAAGATGGTTGAGGAGCTAGCTGGTATGGGTAGGATGAGGCATTGTTCACAGCAAGATAGTATGGAGAGTAGCCTTGGGATGGATAGGGTTGATAACCCCTGAATTGTTGTCTATCGAAGCTCACAGCTTGAGCTTCAGCTTCTTTCTTTTCTGATGTCTTCTTGGTTTCTCCTCCTTTCAACTTGCCATTTTTTATGGCACTTTCAATAATTTCTCCAGAGATCACCATGTCAGCAAAATTCTTTGTTGCATTCCCTATCATCTTTTCATAATAGGGAGGTTTCAAAGTGCTAACAAACAGCACTGTGGTCTCTTTTTCTGTCAGAGGAGGTTGTACCTGTGAAGCTATATCTCTCCATCTCTGGGCGTACTCTTTAAAAGACTCGTTTGACTTTTTCTCCAGATTCTGTAAAGACAAACGATCAGGAGCCAAATCGATAATGTGTCGATATTGACTGATGAAGTCATGTGCCATATCACTCCAAGAGCGAATACGAGTCCTATCCAACTGAACATACCATCTGACGGTAGAGCCAGTAAGACTGTCCTGGAAAACATGCATCAATAGCTTTTCATCATGTGCATGAGCTGCCATCTTCCTGCAGTACATGGTGATATGGGTTTTGGGGCATTTTGTACCGTCGTATTTTTCAAATTTCGGTACTTTGAACTTATAGGGGATAACCACATCAGGAACTAGGCAGAGCCCAGCAGCATCAACTGACCCGTAAAAGCTAAATCCTTCCACAGCCCTTAGCCTTTGCTCCAGCATGCTAATCTTAGAACTTTCCTCAGCTTCTACTCTCATCTTTTCCTTCTCTTTTTCTTTTAAATCATCTAGATCAGGAATTGGTTCTACTGCCCTTTTCAGTGAAGACAGGATTTATGTAGCTATTATACTGTCCCCGGGTTGAAAGCTGATGGCATTCCAGGATATGTTGGTTGTAGCGGGACCTCTTGGGCAGACTGGGCTTGAGGTGGGCCAAAACCTGGAGGGTACAAAGGGTCAGCAACATCTTGTTGGCTTGTATTTCCTTCAACTCCTTTTCCTTTGTTCATGTTATTAAGAGCCTCCAGAATCTTGCTTAGTTCACTTTCAATCTTCTCCTGAGCTTTTTCTAGCTTTTCAAATCTATGGGAATTTTCCTCCTCCATTTGTCTTGCTCTGGATCTTGTGTTGTATGGATGAGCAGGGTTCTCGCTAGACGGAGCTATCCTTGGATCTTGAGTACCATACTTATGATTAGAAATGTCATGCTGTGCCTTATGTATGATGCTTTGATACACAAATGAAATGTACATTTTTCTGAATGAAATCTAGTATGAAATAGGTGCAAATGATTATGTTAGAACATGGTCATGAAAGTAATGCGGATGCATACAATCAGACAAACAACATAGTTAGTTCCATGGATGAAATGAAAGTGATGCTGATGCATAGTGTTACATATGATAAAAATAGTACACAAAGTTAAACAATCAAAACAATTTTTTTTTTTGTGTCTTAATTTCAGGGTATATCTATCATTGGGTAGAAAGGGCTCTATCCTAGGTGTAGGCACTCTTAAGGTTCACTACATGTGGTTTTAAAGTCAGAGTCTAAAGGTCCTCAAATTGTTCCTTACATCATTGTCCATCACAGACTAGTAAGGCACCCTAATCCTCACCCATTACAGGTTACAAGCGGAAAAGGTTCAAATTTGAGTGGGAGTATTTCGCTAGCCCACTGCGGAGCATTAGACCTTCAAGAAAGCAATAGGTACTTTACTCCCCTCCTAGAGGGACGGAGCTCGGGTGTTAGAGCTCCTGTTATGCACATGCACATGAATGACATAATTAACAGGGTAAATAAACATGACTAAAAAATTACACATATATATACAACAAGGATCAATTTTATTAGGCTTTTGGATAACACAAATTATTTGCTGGCCTGACTCTCAAGGTCCCCAGTGGAGTCGCCATCTTTCATAACGTCTAGATCCGGGGATCTATCGCTAGACATTGACTTAAAGGGAGTCGCCACCAATCTTTTTTATCTAGGTGCGATTGACCACCTAAAGAATCTGCCCTTTTAGGGAACGCCCAAGCTTAAGGGTCCCTAAAAGAATAGGTTCGGGTCTGCTAACCAGAACAGGGTTCGGGAGTTCGGTTACGTGTGAGGAAGGTTATAGCACCCTCACAACGCCCATCAAAAGATGGTACCAGCTTGAATTTGTGTTATCCAAAAGCCTTAAAATTTTACCAAGTAATTAGTTGTTGGAAATGATTCTCAATTGACTCTAATACTTTTAGCAGAAAATTGAGAAAATTCCCTCACCTCAAGAGTATGCAAGAAAAACTACTGTTTCACTTGCAGAGGCTCCGTCGTCGGATTAATTAAAGAAAAAAAAAATCAAAATCAGCCAAGTAATTAATTATCGGAAATTATTCTCAATTGACTCTAATACTTTTAGCAGAAAATTGAGAAAATTCCCTCACCTCAGGAGTATGCAAGAAAAACTACTGTTTTTGTAAAGGCTCCGTCGTCGGATTAATTAAAGAAAAAAGAAAAAAAAAATCAAGATCAAAATCAAAGTCAAATAAAAAAAATTCAAAAAAAAAAAAAAAAAAAAAAAAAAAACCTGGAGCGGCTCGGCTATCGGCTCGGCTCGGCTCGGCTCAAGGAAGAAAAAACGGCTCGGAGGAGCGGCTTGGAAGCTCGGCTCGGCTCGGCTTGGCTCGGAGGGAGGCTGGCACGCGCGGGTCAGAAGCGGGTCGACGCTCGGGTCGGGTCGGGTCACGGCAAAACGCGCGGATCCTCTGGTTACTTAAGGCCAAAATGACGTCGTTTTTGGAGGGTATTTAAGGCACTCTCCTCTGTTTTTCGGCAGAACGCTCCTCCCCTCTCTCTCTCTTCCTTCCCTTTTCTCTCCCTTCTCTCTAGAAAACCGAAGAACACCGGTGCCGGATTCTGGAAATGTCGCCGGAATCTGGAAATTTTGCCGGAATATGGCCGGAATCTTCGCCGGTTTCTGGGAATCTCGCCGGAAACTGGGTTGGTCACCGGAATCTTCAAGTTTCGCCAGAATTTGTGCCGAAAAATTCAAATGTCGCCGGAATTTTCGCCGGAATCTGGAAATTTCCCAGAAATTTCCAGAAAAAATTTTCGCAAAAAATTTCTAAAAAAATTTTTTCAGATCCCTACAGCTATCCTAACACTTCTCGACCTTCTTTAGCCTTCGAAAACTCTTCTAAACACTTTTTTTTCTCTCAAATTCAGTAGCTTTGCTCACTGTTTTCTGTGTGTTCTTCATCTGTTCCAAAGGGTCCTTTATATAGGGGTTGATCAGGAGTTTCTGATCAATCCCAACTCCTCCTTGGACGGGAATTCAGTCTTTGAATCCAATTGGACTCTCTTGATTGAATTCCCACTTTCAATGGGATTCTTCAGCCTTCAATCTCAGCCCTCCAAAATCAAAATAAAAAAAAAACTAGATAATTAGAAAAGAAAATCAAAAATTAAAAAATAAAAATAATATCAGATAATTCGGGAAAAAGAAGATAGAATTAACAGATGATTTAAAAAAATAATAACAAATAAAATAAGATAAACCCAAAAATATATTACACAAAAAAAAATAATAATAATAATATATAACTATATAAATAAAATACATATAAATCTAATCTGAATAAAAATAAATAAATAAATAAAGATATACATAATAATAATAATAATAATAGAATACATAAAATACAAAAGAAAAAAATATACAGGATTGAAATGGGCCTTACCCATTTGGGCCAGGCTCAATTGATCTGGGCCCGGACCCAATTGGGTGTCTACAAATAGTAAAATAAAAATATCAATCAAACTAAACTTTGAAAAGTAAAAATAATACATAATAAAGTGAAAATTTGCACCTGTGGGGAAGCGACGGATTTTGATTCCTCTAAATGATTGTAAATTTGCACTTTCATATTTTCACAAGAGCCCAAATTGAATAAATCTTCAGTTAATTTCAACTCAACGTTTTTGGTCACATGCTCTTCATTTCCTAACAGTTGTGATAAATGTCATATCATCAATTCTAATTACGTTTGATCACATCGTATGAGTAGAATTTACAAATACAATAAAAACAACTCCTACAACAGAAAATTATTTAATTTTAACTTTTTTACTTACATATGTAATTTATGCTTCTATTATGCTTTAAATGTCAACTAATAAAATAATAATATAAATTTATTATTTTATTATTATAATTATTAAATCATTATGTCACATGTAGAAAAACTAGTATATAAAATAGTATCCTTGCAATCGTACTCATACCTGAATAGTAGTGCTGAAAGTTTGATTCATATCTAATATTGTTTGCTGATCCACATGTAATGCCTAATTCTCTTACATTGAGTTGCAAAGGCACCACCTTGCAGCTCAGAGAAATGCCATTTTCCAACTGGAAGCCCATTGCTGGCCAATGGATTAACCACAACATTGTGTTATTATTGACTTCAGGAATTCCAATGAAACTTGAGAAATAAGCTCGCGTGACCTTTTTAGTCTCGTTAGTAATATACACACATGGTGGGCTTTCGAAAATCTGATTACTAACGAAAGAAAAAATGATGCATAAATTGAAGTAACTAATCTTTTCACCCGGATAAGATGGTTTTGGCAGAGAAAAAGTGATCTGAAATCCTTTAGTGCGATACTCAAACTCGATTGGAACCTCACTTCCTGAAACAAATGTGCTAATTATACCGCATTCATGTATTACCTGTCCATCATAATCGATAGATCATTAGGAATATATTGATAAAGTAAAATAAGCAAACACAAAATGAGGAAAAAAAAAGATATAAAAACTTAGAGAGATGGGGAAAAGACCTGTGGTGTAGCAACTATTGTTGTGTCTGTTAGGTAGTTAAAAAGCTGCACTTTATTGCTGTTAATAGAATCAATGTTGAACAAGTTTTTAATCTGTTCCACTTCAAAATTTTCAATTGGTTCCAACTTGAACACACCTTCAACCTCAGTTAGCTTTTGACATCCAAAAATAATACATCTTTTCAAAGACGTTAGGCATGTTATACTTGACAGCGCAATTGCTAACGTAGACCATCCCACGTAACTCTCGAAGAATGGACTGTATATTGGAAGCTTTGGAATTAGTTGGAGCTCTGAGCAAGAAGTCAGTAGAAGTTCATCAAGCTTCGTAAGGCTACTAATGCTCTTAGGCAGGCTATGGATTGGATTTTTACTTAAATCTAAAGATTTCAAGGAAGGTAAATTGCTAAGATCGTTAGGTATAACATCAGCAGATAGTCTGCAACTTTCAAAACTCAACTTTACCAAAGAGCATGGTAAAAATGGCCAAAACAAACCCAATTCTTTGCTTCTTTTCAGTGATAGCCAAGACAGCCGCGATTTTGATTTGTATATGGCTGTTTCATTTAAATTAAGCACCCTTAATGATTTCATATTCTGCAACTCTTTTGGGACATCATCAAGTCTTGAGCAACCAGATAAAATAAGCACTTTAAGAGACAATAACGAGCCAATTGTCTTTGGAAGTTTCATAAGATTTTTGCAACCTTTAAGGTTTATAAAAGTAAGTGACTTTAGCTCACCAATGGATTGATCAACCTCAATCAACTTTATGCAATCTTTGAGCAACAACTTCTCAAGACTTGGAAGTCCTAAAAAGTTTGGGGTTTTGAGAAGGTCAAGTGAATGATTGAGATTAAGGATCTTCAAATTTGGCAGACACTGTAGAAAAGAAAAAAAAAATATCTTTTTACAAATGTGAATTGCTTCAAAAAAGGATAGAGAAATTAGCGGTTATCATACCTCAGTATCCTTCCAAACATGTTTTAAGCTACTATTGCGCATGTCAAGAACAACAAGCCTCTTAATATCAAAATCCGTTGGAAGAGATTGTAAAGGAAATCCATGCCAGTGCAACCATATTAAGCCTTTGGGGAAGTCTTTGAAGTCTCCTTTAACTTTTACATAATCTAGCTGAAGTAGTTTCAGTCTCTGCATCTTTGCAAATGTATCAGTTTCTATATAAACCTCATTTGACATGGCAAACCGATTTTTTGAATGATTTGCTAAATGTAGACTTGCAGTTATCCTTCTAGATTTGTGTTTTAGCAATCCTTGTAGGTCAACAATAAGACACTTAACTGTCTTGGAACCCTGTATCAGAAAGATTTTCTTAAAAAAAATTGAAAAAATAGTTGTATGATAAAAGTTAGAGACATACATACAAGAAACAAGTAGATTAAAATAAAATCTCTTACAATTTTTTCTCTTATTACATCGAGTGCGTCCTTATCCCATAACCTGCTTCGTTTTCCAGGATTAAGAGATTCTTGGCGAACAATTTCCTTTCCCATATCTCTAACCATTTGATGCATCATTAGCTTGTTTTTTTCATTAACAATTAGGAGAGACCTGCCTATGAGATTTTCAATTCCAACTGTTGTATAGAAACCACAACCATCCAGAATTGTAGTTGTATAATCTTTATCCTTCCCAATGAATAAACAAGCTATGTCAAGGAATAAATTTTTATCATGATCATCTTGAAGTGACTCATAGCTTACTCGTAGAATCTTTTGAATCTTGCTATCAGGGATTTCTTCCAATTTTTCCAATGCACTTTTCCATACACTCGTACTTTTGCCAGAGAGTGAAGAACCCAAAATTGAAGAGCTAATGGAAGCCCACCACAGTAGTTGACTATATTACTTGCATACTCCATAAAACTCCCAGTTATAGAGTTGTGACCAAAGGCATGCCAGTTAAAAAGTTGAAGTGATTCATTGAAAGCTAATTCTTTTACTTCAAACACTTTGCATAAGTTTCCATAACGAGACGATTCTTCCAAATCAAACATCTTGGTAATAAAAGGACCACTTAGCAGATGTCGATGCCTACTAGTTAGGATGATTTTACTTCCTGGAAAAAAAGGTATTTGCATTCCAATTATTTTAGTTATGTTTTCCAAATCATCGACATCATCAAAAATAATAAGAACTCTTCTGCAACATACAGCTTCTTTGATCTTAAGAATTCCATCATCTGCATTGTAGATTTTTTTTACTTTCCCCTTAAGGATATCTGAAATAAGTTGTCTTTGCAACCGAACCAAGCCATTACACTCTAGAGTTGTTTCTCTAACATAAGCAAGGAAACTATAACCTTCAAATCTTTGGATGTTTTGATTGTAAACAACTTTGGCAATGGTTGTCTTCCCAATCCCTCCAATTCCACAAATTGTTGCAATCCCAATGTTATCTGATCCATCTTCTTCTATCCACCGATTAATGCATGTCATAAGAGAATCTATCCCAACTAAATAAGGGGGGACATATAAGGCAGTGCGATGAAGTTTATCTTTAACCTGCTTAACAATATCTTGAATGAATTGTGACTCATGCCTACAAAATTTAAAAGATAAACCGTTAAATATATCGAAATATAACTAAACAAGTCAAATCTTGAAAATTGAGTAAAAATCAATAACATGTTTGTCTTTTTCTTGCATAATTTTAGCTTTTCATGAGATTACATGTTCAAAGAAAAATTACAATCTAATGCAACATTATTCAACATATACGTAAAGCTATTACATTAAAAAATTAATAAGCAAACTAAATAAATCAACAAAACAACATAAATTTTAATGAAAATTACATAAGATAGACATGAACTTCAAATTTAAAAGTTTTAGAATCTTTTCCTTGTAAAAATATAAGAAATTTGTTGGTTTCAATAAAATTACATCTTTGTCCTTAGTCATTATAACTTTTTTCAATTGAAAAAAAGAAAGCCCTAAAATAAAAAAGAAAGCCTAGATTTACAGCAAATCAGAAAAAAAAAAAATCAGCCTCAATTAATAATCAAGAAGAAATTATAGAAAGAAAATAATAGCGAAGAAAAACTTAAAATTACCTTTTCCCTTGTTTAAATTTCTGCAAATTTATCTTTTATAGGACTAAAAAGAACTGGGACTTTGAGAGATTTTGCTTTGAACTCTAAAATTTCAAAAGCCCATCTATGAGCACTCTATGGGCATAGTTTTGGGGTTGTAGTGGTTAGATTGAAGAAGAAATCAAATAAGCCATGGCATGGATTGGTTGGAAGGTTAGAGGAGGGTGGAAGCATGGAAGTTGGTTGGCTACCATGGCTACCGGATTGTTTGCGGGAATTATAGGAAAAAGGAATTGAGAGAAAGACATCAAAAAGTTTGAGTTGAGACAGTAAGATTTTGGAAGATGAAGAGGAGCTGGGTGGTTCTTATATACTTTCAATTAAAAAAAAAACATATTTGGCTGTAGTGAGAAGTATGGTGGGATGTAGGCTCGGTAAAATGCTTGAATAATCAAAAATTAGTTTTTTTTAGTTTAAATTTTAGGGGAAAATTTTAGCGAGAAATTATTGGTTAAATTTCACACATGAATACTATGCTACCTGCTTGGAATAGTAAGCATAAGTAATTTTAAAATGTGAGATAAAAATGATTAATTATATTAAACAATCTATACTATACTAAAAATTTAAAGACATCATACTAGTTAATTAGTAAAATCATAAAAATTTTAAACAAAATTGTATTTAAATATATATATATATGAGAAAAGATCTACTTATTTTAGAATAACTCTTATTTTTTATCATTGGATCAAAATAGTTAAAATTAAAAATATTATTTTGAATTTTAATCTAAAAGTAAAAAAATATAAGACTTACATTAATGTAAGTAATCCCTACTATATATATGTATATATATATGTATGTATGTACCTATCTTGTAGAACCATGCCTCCTAAATCCGCAACTTCTTTTAAAGCAACCCTCCATCTTTGTACCATATCCATTTCAGATTTGAAGTTCTCTTCATGCCTAGCGAACGCTTCTGCATAACTTCCTGACTGCTTCTTGACTTGGTTTGGATCGACATCATAGAAAATAGGTAGAACAATGTATTGAGAGGATTTTTTATGTTCCAATATCTTTACAAGTTCGTTAAGGCACCATGTTGACGTAGCATAATTTTTAGAGAAGATAATAATAGAAATTTTTGACTCATATAAAATTACCTTTTCAATTTCATCCTTTATATTCTTCCCTTTCTCAATCTTCTCATCATCTTTAAATGTGTGAATCCCTGCTTGCATCAATGCTGTATAAAGATGATCTACGAAGCTCTTACGCGTATTTATACCTCTAAAACTCAAGAACACATGATAAACACATCGAGAAATTGAGGTGGAGGCTTCATGAACCATCGAAACAGCCATTGAAAAAAGTCCTAGAGAGAATCAAGATTAATTGGCGTGAGGCACCTGAAAGAACGTAAAACAACTTAACTATATGTTATCAAAGGGAACAATGTTATAAGAAAATGAAATCTTATTATATTTATATATAGCAAAGTCTTAGTATATTCTTATTTTTTAAACTCTTTATTAATATTTTAAGGAAACAAAACTTGAAAGCAATAAATGAAATAAAAAATTTCCTATCTTAGACGTCAGACCTAGACTTTTGCCCTATTTTTCAATATTAATTGGCGTGTAAGGCACCTGAAAGAACGTAAAACAACTTAACTATATGTTATCAAAGGGAACAATGTTATAAGAAAATGAAATCTTATTATATTTATATATAACAAAGTCTTAGTATATTCTTATTTTTTAAACTCTTTATTAATATTTTAAGGAAACAAAACTTGAAAGCAATAAATGAAATAAAAAATTTCCTATCTTAGACGTCAGACCTAGACTTTTGCCCTTTTTTTCAATATTCTATTAATCTCAGACCATGACTTTGCTTTTCTTTTTCTTGATATTAACATGACTTATCATTTTTAAATAAGTGGGATCCAAATACTTTTTCTAGTCTCTTGCTCCACACCAGTTTATACGAAAAAGAAAATCAAGCCAAGCGGGTCAATCCCTCCACCATACCACAACTGGAAGAAGAAAATTGAAACAAATTTATTTTCCGGATGTTCACCTTTGTTGGAAAAAATATAACTATAGTGGACTTTTAATTCCTCCTTTTCTTAGTTTTACCAACTACCAACTATACTTTTCTAGAATCATTAACTATTAATAGATGACATTTTGTCAATAAAATATTTTTTTCCAACCAGAATATCTTGATTGTATTTATATGTTGGATTAAGAAACATGTATCTAATGTAGGGACTGCCTCTATGCAGTGAAAGAAATGCAAAAGACCAAGTATGGAATCCAAGAGATCAAATCATCCACATATATCTTAGGAAATAAACAACACAGCTATTGGCAAAATAAAATTGATTTTCTTTTCAATGATCATTGTATTGGTTCTTACGTTTATATGGTGTATATGCAAATTTCGAGTATGAAAATAAGATAAAAAAGGATTGAAATCAAATTATAATTTTAAAAAATGTAAAATACAACCTTTCAAAAATTTTAAATAGAAAAATCTTTTGATTCTTTTTTTTTTCCGATTTTGATGACTTGTTTTTAAATTGGATAAATTACTTTGGATATTTTTTAATAGAACAAATTTTATTGTTCTCAAAATTTAGAGATTGATTTATTGAAATTTGATCCCAAAATTTAGAATACTTAAAAGTCTTGAAATTTGGATTTAAGCATTCTTGAAAATCTTATAAATTGAGTAATATCAATTGTTTTTGTTAATTTTAGTTGATTTCAGTGAATTTCAATATAATAGTTTATTTCGATCAATACATGAATATAAAATATGTTTTATAATTTTTTACTTATCTTTTGTTATTTGACTATTTTTAACCAAATAAAAATAAAACTAATAAACAAAATAATTTTTGAAAGTTAAGTTTCTCTATTTTTTATGTAACTTATTTTTTTTACACATTATTTTTCCAAACTAAAGTTCATAAGAATTTTAATCTCTTTCAAGAAAACAATTGTGCTCCAGTTTTAAAATTTAAAAATCTTAAAGCTAAAATTAATTTCTTTTTTTTATCTTTTTGTTTTTATCTTAATATATTTCTACATAAAAAGAAAATTTCTTATTTAAATATAATATAATCAAATTAAATGTTTAAAAATATCATGATAAATTGATAATATTATTTGTTATACTTTTAAACTTATTTATTTGATTTTTGAAAATATTGTATATTTATTTTGCATATTATTAATAGTATTATTATACATAAATTCATGTATATTTATAAAATATTTGTAATAAATTGAAAATTTTGAAATAATGTATTAAAATAATTGATATCGGTTTATACCATTTTTTTAAAATCAAAATATTATGATTTACGATATTAACAATCTTAGTTTGAAGCCAAACCTTACCCAAAACCTAAAACCTAAGAAAATTTTATTGCGTTTAATGTGTTAAATTGCTGATTGTGGTTAAAATTATGTTGTTTTTATAGAAAACTAACTTGCTACCTGTACAATGTACGGATTATCTTTATTTATTTAAATATGTACAAAAATATAAATTAATACTATTCAATCACTCATATATTTAAAATATATAATACATATATTATAATTAAGACATCAAATCATAATAACTTGACTATAAATAACTTTTGAATCTAAAATATATATATAAGTGATATTTTTGTTTTTGAATTGAAAAAAAAAAGACTAAAGGATTATAAAGAAAGTTACCAAAGTAAAAATATCCATTTTAAAATTTTAAAATTTTTTTTAAAAGATATCTATAGGTGAAATTTTAATCAAATAAGATTAATATTTTTAAGTTTTATATTTTTATTACAACTTATTGAGATTTTTTGTTTTTAAGAAAAATCATACAGAATTAATTATAAATAATTTGGGTAAGACTTCATTTTTAGAAAATTTGATATTTAAATTTAAATCACGTATAATAGGTATTGTCCATGTGTCAAAAAAAAAATGTCCACCTAAGCATTCATGTGACAAATCTTATCAGGTATCCATGTATGTTATAATATATATATGATATGTGATTAATCCCAATTGAAAAATGAGTCTTTTTTTTCAATTCTAAATTTGTATTTTAATCCTTTGTAATTTATGAAGATATAAGCTATTCAAACCCTTAAAAAAGAAAATTTTGTCTTCGAAAGAAATTTCAGTCCTCATCAATTTAGGTTTTCCTTCAATTTTTTTTTTATATTTTCTTTTTTTTTAATTTCCATATAAATAAAAACAAAAATGTTTGAAAGAAAGAAAAAAAAAAAAAGAAAAAGAAAGAGAATTGGACACTAGTATTGTGCTTAAGATTCAAACCAAGCTCAAAATCCAATTAGCCTATTAATCTTTGCTGATCTCGAAGTACATGCCAAAAAAACTCCAATGTCAAACAAGGATTTCAGGTTGTAAATTTAGAATATACACAAACCTGTTAGACATTTGGGTTTAACATTGTCTAACTTTGT